ATATCACATAAATATATTCTTTTATATTAATGAGAAGTTATCCCCATGATACTTTGGGCCTCATGAGATCTTGGAGCGCATTGGAGCAGTAACATATCGCTTAAGGCTACCACCCTCAAGGCAATAGGAGAGCATATACTATCATCAGTGCTTCCAACTTTAACAGAGGACATGGAGGCCATTTTGGAACCTCTGGAAGTAGCGGATGTACTCATAAGGGAGATCGGGGCACAAGAGGTACTAATCAAGTGGAAGGATGTGCCAGAGCATGATGTCATATGGGAGCTATACGAGACAATCAGAAGACAGTTCCCTACCTTCCACCTTGAGGACAAGATAAATTTTGAGAAGGGTAGTATTGTTACAGGGTAGAAGAATATAGGGGAGGGCAACAGCCAGGATAGCAAGGGCCGGTCTAGCAAAACCGGATGGACAACCCATGGGTAGAGACAACAGGTTCGGCCCCCTTGTGGGGCCCAACATAGCTTTGATTAAAGACACTAGAAGAAGAAATAAGGAGGGAAATGATGAAGGAAAGAATTCTAATTTTGAAATAGAGAAAAGGAGAGTTATTAATTAAGGAAGGTGGTTGATTTGGGGGGAATTAGGGAATTTAATTATGGCTGATTCTAAGGTTTATTTTTTCATGTATTGTTTGTGAGTTTTGTAGTTTTTCTGGAGTTTCTCTTGATGGCTTCCTAGTAGCATCTAGGTCAAGTGGGAGAGACGATCTACCTCTCTAATAGTAGATCATTATATCTTACATTGGTGTTAAAGTATTAATAATAAATCAGCCGTTTCTCAATTTCTGCTGTTTTTATTATCTTTTCTTGCTGATTTTGTCTTCAAGGCGTATCAGGATCACCCAAGCTTCTAAGCACATCCAAAGACCATACCAGGTTCATTAAAAATGATAAAAATTATAGAAAACTTCAGCTAATTTTCTTAACTAGCAACATGAAATGAAACATAGCACAGATCTACAAACTCCAAACGGTAGTTCTTTAATAACAAAGAAAGCATGCTTCCAGTACAATATAGATGACAAATAAAGATTAACACTGTTGATGAAGAAAACTATATGCTCTCACAAAAATAAGCTCAGAAGTAACATGATCTTCACAATGGTACAAACACAAATCAGCGTTGAAGAAAACAATATAAATTCATAAACTTGGGGGTATGAACATCTTGAAAGAGCTGAGCAAATTATTGGAAACAAAGAATCATACCACTCCTCTTAGCCTTATAGAAACAGGTCGATTTTCTAAAGCATCCATTACTTTCAAAGAAATTTCCTGCTTAGAGTAAAGGATACATTTGGAAAAATAAAAAGGACAAATAACCTAATATTAATCATCTCTTCAATAAAAGAAAGAGTACCTTTAGAATCTTAGTAGCCATAGCAACACGATCCTTATTCCATAACTTCAGCATAAGCACAGTCAAGTGAAATGTTTGAGGATTAATAAATATGGACCTTTCAATACCCATTGCTGTATATAATATGATCAGTTTCTACTCAAAAAAAAAAAAAAGTATAAAGGAAAAAATTCTAGAAGAACGCCAACATTGATGATATAATCATAATCTTTACATGCTATGAGATCAATCGAATCATTCCTAAAAGGATGCTCCTTAACATTTTAACACAACAACATCCAGCCTTTATCCCACTATGTGGGGTCAGCTACATGAATCCTTTTTCGCCATTGTGTCCCCTTAACATTTTAACACAAAGAAAGAAAATTCTTTAATTGTACAACTAAATTGGTGGACAATTTAAGATGTATAAGTTTGCTAAAGCAAATTCACCAGGTATCATAATAACTTCTTCCAGTACAGACTTCTGAAATCCTTCTAGCTTCTCTACCAGTTCACGGTGGATAGCGAGCGGGAGAGATACAAAATGGGTGAAATCAAGGTTTGGGCTTTTCACTGCCTGAGGTTTGAAACAAGTGAATAAGCCAAATTAGCAGTAGCGTTAAAAAGAAGAGGACATAAAAATATAGCATGAAATTATGATTGAAGTAAGAAAATATGCCACAAATAACCAATAATTGTCACATGCATACCCCACAAGGGCATGATATTTTAACACTACGTAAAAAGAAAATTATTGAAATTGCATTTTAATTACTAAATGAGATATTTTCATATTAGGACCTATTTGATCTCTTGTACATGGAACATGTTTTAGAAAGAGAAGATTTTGTTTTCACTCTTTTTGCATGTGAGAAGAAGCCACTCATTTGAGGTCTTGAAGGAGTTTGAAACCCACATTGATTTCCAACCAAATGGAATCTAGCAAAATAGAAGCAGCCAAATTTTGGTCATTATGCGTGAACAATTCATTTGTAATTCTTATTTTGTATTTCTTCAATACAACAACAACAACAACAACAACAAGCCTTTATCCCACTACGTGGGGTCGGCTACATGAATCCTTTTTCTCCATTGCGTCCTATTAAAAGTCAAATCTCGTTTAAATGTAATAAAGAAATGTCATTCCTAATATTTTTTAGCCAAGTCTTTTTAGGTCTACCCCTACCTTTGCTAACATAAGTCAAATCTAATACCTCTATTCTCCTAACCGGGTCATCAGAAGGCCGCCG